GGGGCCGGCGGCGCTCGGCTCGCCAGACCTTCGGGAGAGACGCGCGCGCTGACATGCTTCTTTTCCGGAACTTGACGAAAAGTTTTGTCCCTGAGACGCGCGGGGCTCCTCAGCCCGAGAGGGGCTGGCAAGGGGCGCGCAGCCGCTCCGCCGGGCCCCTTTCACCTCCGGGGTCTCCGACTCCCGGCGCCCGGGACGTCGTTCGCTTCGGGACCATGGACCCCCCCCCGGGAAGACCCGTCCACTTTGGGGCCCCGACTCCCTGGACTCCCCTCCACCTTGGAGCTCCCGACCCCCTTCTTTCTTGGAACCGCTGTCGCTAGACCGCAGAACCCCCCCATTCTCAGACCTCCTCTTTCGGGGCCAGGGACTCCGCTGGCGTTGGAGACCCCCTTTCCTGGGCCACAGACCCCCTCTGTGCAGGAGAAACCTGAGAGCCCGGGCCTGGGGATCCTTCCGCTGGGCGGGCGGAGGGACCGGGGCTGGTGTGTCGGCGGGGGGAGGGGAGGGGGGTGCTCCGCAGGCGGCCCTTCCTGGGCTCGGAGCTGCCAGGAGGAAGCTTCAGGGGTGAGGCCATGCATGATGTGGAAGCCTCAGGAAGCGGCAGGACTGGCCCCACGGACTCCAGGCCCTGGGCTCGGGTAGTGGGCATTTAGTGGCCAGAGCCCTACCTGGCCAAACCCCCCACCCTTTTTTTTTTTGGTCTTGAGATTGCACAGCACCGTTTTCTCCAGTACGGAATTGAAAGCTTTGCTTTGGAAAGTTCTATGTGAGGAGGCTCCTGGGCATCCACTTGTTTTATTTCCTGAGGCTAGTTGAGAAGGGTGGCGTCTTTGGGACCCTCCCAGCAGGATGTTAGCACCTCCTTGTTGTCTTGACATCATTTATTTTTAATGTTTTAAAAGATTTTATTTATATATTTGTTTATTTGAGAGAGAGAGAGGGAGATTGCGCGACAGAGCGCGCACATGCACACGAGCAGGGTCAGATGGAGAGAGAGAATCCCACTGAGTGCAAGAGCCAGGTGGGGCTTGATCCAAGGACCCTGAGATCATGACCTGAGCAGAAACTAAGAGTCAGGTGCTCAGCCAGATGAGCCACCGAGCCCCCCCCCCCTTTCCTTTACAGATGGGTTATACATCTGTACACTGTTAGGTGCTTTGCCTGGACCACACTGCCTCTTGCCCAGTTTATCTGGCCACTACCAACCCATGCCTCAAGTGTGGGAATGACTTCTTCCTGACTTCTTCTTAACCCCCTGTCCAGCCTGTTTTGCCTCGCCCCAGGCTGTCTTAGTTGTTGTATATATTTGATCCCTGCAGATTGTGGGCTCCACTTGATCCCTAGCCCTAATGAGAACTTGGCTCAGGGTTATTGAGTGAATATACCCTTTGGGAAGCATTAAAGGAGGTACCGTAAATGGTCCGGGGTCACCCAGCTGGCGAGAGGCATGGGTGAGATTCAGACTGTGCCGGGTCACTAGGCCCGGTTCAGCTCACCTTAGTGTCCAACACGGTCCCAGCAGGCTTCTGCTCAGCACTTGGCTTCGTGCTGAGCTGGGCTTGCTTCCTGCTTGTGAAACGGTTTTCACAGTGTGCCCCCAGCCCGCCCTCTCACATTCAGTATCAGCGCTGCCTTGCCTGGCCTCTGTTGATCCTGACTTTCCTCTCCATCCATCTGGCCCACTCCCCTACTCCCCTCTGTGCTCTGTTGAAGTCCTCTCTGGCAGTGAGGACCTGCCTGTCAGAGCAGCTTGCTTCAGAATCTGCCTCCCCTGTGGGTCAAAGCTTCTGACCATCGTGTCCACAGCCTCAACACAGCGGATGCCTGCCCAGCATATTGTGGGTGCTCGTGGAGCTCTGGGACCTTGGAGGAGATTTGCCATCAAAATAGGCATTTATACATAATACGTAAAAGAAGATTTTAGGAAAATGAGTGGGTGTCATCTGTTAATGTTTGTTTTAGGATGGTTATGAAATTTCTAGGGCCTGAATTGTTAAGAATTCTAGATTGCCAAGCTGGAAGGACCTCAGGTAGATCAGCTGGACTCATCACCTTATTTTTACAGATGGGAAGTTGAGGCCAAGAGCTTAGTGCCACAGAGCAGGTGTGAGGAGAGATGTTAGTGACAGGAAGAAACCATACGGTGAGGCTTGCAGGCACAAAGTGGCTGAGTCTTGGCTTTGTTTATGCAAATGAGTTGCTAAAATAGTGGGCCTGAGCCGCCTGGCCCTATCTAGTGCCCAGGAAGAAGTAATACCAGCCAACATCTTCTGAGGTTTAACTCGTGCCAGGCGTGATTCTAAAGGCTTTATTTGCCTAAGGAGATAGGGTCTATTATTGTTCTCATTTTACTACGTGGAAGTTTGGGCACAGGGGAGTTAAACTAGTCCAAGATCACATAGTTTGTAAGTGGAGGAGCCAGGATTTGAACCCTGGGCATTCTGCCTCCAGAACCTGCATTATTTTTCCCCCTTGTGTATTTCATTTTTAAAAACATTTTCTCTGAATTCTGACATACAGAGACGTGTAAAAATTGTTAAGCCTTTGGGTTATCGATTATCACAAAGCTTAGGGTCTGTTTTCGTAAGCATTCCAGCAAGCTGGTGTGGGCTTTGAAGTCAGACCTGGTTTGAATCCAGTTTCTGTTGCTTTGTGACCTTAGGTGACTTACTCAGCCTCAGTTTCTTTACTGAGCTTTGGAGGCTTGTGATGAGAAGAGCATGTGATAGCACTTAGCAGGTTTGGTAGCATGGCAAATGCTCAATAAATGGTTTTCTCTTACTAATAATTAAGATTATAAGTTGTGCTGGGTTTGTTAAGCGGTATGAATATCTTCCTCATCTGTCAGTTGCCTGTCAGTCACCTTATAGGTACTTAGGATGAGTCACTTTGGAAAGTCACTATACGTAGCTGAAACATTTTGGAATAGTGGCCCCCAGTGCCCGTGCATTGAAAGTCCTTAATTTAAAATGTCCCACCTGGGGCACCTGGTGGCTCAGTCGGTTGAGTGTCTGCCTTCAGCTCAGGTCATGATCTCAGGGTCCTGGGATCGAGCCCCGCGTCAGGCTCCCTGCTCGGCAGGAAGCCTGCTTCTCCCTCTCCCACTCCCCCTGCTTGTGTTCCCTCTCCCACTCCCCCTGCTTGTGTTCCCTCTCCCACTGTGTCTCTCTCTGTCAAATAAATAAATAAAATCTTTAAAAAAGTAAAATAAAATGTCCCACCTGTGCCTTTTTTAACATAACCACTTTGGGGCAGTGAAAGTTACATGTCTTCTCCTTAGGGTTGTGAGGGAGCCTTTGGGGACCCTCAACAGCTTAACCCCAGTTTCTGCCTGGCTTGCTAGTGGGCCAAAACTTAAACAACATTAAGTTATGGGGCGCCTGGGTGGCTCAGCTGTTAAGCATCTGCCTTTGGCTCAGGTCATGACCGCAGGGTCCTGGGATCGAGTCCTGTGTCGGGCTCCCTGCTCCACAGGGAGCCTGCTTCTCCCTCTGCCTCTGCCTCTCTCTCTGTCTCTCTGTTTCTCATGAATAAATAAATAAAATCTTAAAAAAAACAAAACAAAACAGCATTCAGTTATGTTCTAGGCACCTGAAAGTTGCCATTCACTTTCCAGAGGAATATATTGAACTTCTAGGAAATTCTCTTTTGGGATTGTTTTTATCCTGAAGAATAACCCATTTAAAAATCAAATTACTGTTATGGTTGACTTTTTCATTCTGCATAATGCAAATTGCCCCATTATTTTCGGCCGCTCGAGCAGCGGTAGGAACGGCAAGCCCGTGGGTGTCCTCCCAGGTTGGCCCTGGCCGGCCGCTTCATTACACAGGCCTCTCGAGCCTCGTCTCCTTGTCTGTGCGGTGATAATGCCGGAACCGTGAGCTCCGGGGGTTGTTGTGAAGGTTACAGAGACGCTGGGTGTGGACTTTGAAGGCCGTGCCCAGCATATAACGCACACGTGGTGAGCTGAGGCAGCAGCTCCCGTTAATTGGTAATGCCGAGGCACCCGAGTTCCAGAACATCCTGTGCCTCTCTTTCCAGGGTCTTTTTTGTCTAAGCCATGACATTAAAAAGAGAAAGCGACTCAGGAGTGATTGGTGCTTGTGGAGTCCTCTACAAAGCAAGCTAATTGACATGGGAGATGCCCCGTAGATTAGGGGCTTTTCCTGGGCGGTGGGACCTCGTTTCAGAGGCTGAACTTAGCCTGTTTCTCCTGACTGGTCCTGTCCTCCAGGGTCAAGGTGAAGGCCTGGGGTGTGT